GCCGCGATACTACCTCAAATTAGGCCACTACCACTGCATTTCACACCCTTCCAAGTTACTTATTCACTGTGATTCCAGTGGCGACCGTTACTCCTGGGGCTGCTGCAGCGTTGCGAGGTAACCTTAATGAAACATTTGGCAACCATTTATGAGGGGCAGTCAAATGAAAACGGGTCAGAAGCCAAAACATATTACAGAACGTTTCTTACCTCAAAAGTAATCTCCAGAACTGTTAATACACGTACATTTATCCCACTGCGAGATAAGACGGTCAATCCCATCCTTGAAAAAGCTTGTGGACTGTCTACGGAACCACATCTTTACCCAGCCACACACGTCTTCGTCCGATGCAAACCGATGCCAACGAATGTCTCTCTTCAGGTCTCCAAAAATGTGAAAATCACATGGGGAGAGATCTGGGCTGTAGGGGGGATGTTGAAGCACTTCCCAACCAAATCTCTGTAGCGTATTCCTCACAGAGTTGGCAGTGTGGGGGCGCGCATTATCATGAAGAAGGGTAATGCAGTTCGATAGCATTCCAGGGCGTTTTGTCTTTATGGCACATCTCAATTTCTGCAAAGTGTCTTCATAGCGCTGTGCACTGATTGTGGCCCCATGCTCAAGAAATTCGACAAGCAGAGGGCCCTTGCTGTCGAANTCTGTTCCTCCGTGAGTTGATGTGGAACCCACTGCGCGCAGATTTTGCGGTACAGCAGGTGTTTTGTCACAGTGGCGTGTACGGAACCGTGACTTCTTCCCAACAAAAGACTAATTTCTTCCACAGTGATCCGTCGGTTTGCCCGGATATGACCATCCAACGCAGCAGTAACATCAGGGGTGATGACACGATGAGCCTGTCCTGGGCGAGCATCATCTTGCAGTGGCACACGTCCCTCTCGGAATCTCTTATGCCACGCCAGCACACGCGAACGTGACATGCTGTGTTCGCCGTAAACAAGGGACATGCGACGATGAATTTCTCGTCCTCCTACTCCTTCAGCAGTCAAGAAGCGCACTACACTTCACTGTTCTTCTTTACCCGCCTCCATTACTGATGTTGGACGACCACACATAGCGCTAACCATACTTCCAGCACAGTAAACAAATGACTAGTGTTCAAAGGCACGTTGTCACTGTGCTTTCCCGAGTCCCCACCAGATGTTCGTACCGTAAGCAAATTCCAGTGTTGCCAACTTGCGCGCCGTGTGAGTTATGCGTGCTGACCCGTTTTCATTTGACTGCCCCTTATATATTGAACGTTGTGGCAAGCATCGTGAGGTCCGCCATCTTCGCACCTGACGGTTTGGTGACACAAACACTAAAATTATTGATATTCATAAAGGATTCACTTTTAATACTTTAAAGCCCAGTGGTTACTATATGTACCACCTGATTTAGCATACCAAATCTCTGCATTCTGCCCGCATAGTGTATTTATGTGTTCCATACGGTTCTCACAATAAACAGTGACTGTTTCCCCAAACAGCATTATCTGGTTGATCACCGTATCGGTGGCGTAATGTGTTCTCTGCTAGGTACGATAGGAAATACTAATACGGACTGACAAATGACAGACCCGACCTCTCGTCAGAGAGGGCGCCCAAATGGACAGGACAAAACAAAAGAAAATAAATCTGGTCATGGGGCTCGACACCAAGACAGACACACTGACCGACCGTCAGTCGCAATGTGACTTTGACTTTGACAATCTTTTAACGGTTAAAGATTACAGTGCAAGTGGCTGCTCACATCCGTTCTGTTATTTCTCAGATCGTGCTGTTAGACATTGACTTCTCACCGCGGAGCCTCGGGTTCAATTCCGGGGCGACTGGTGTTCTAATTAGCACTGGAACAGGAGTTTCTCCGAGCTTCTTCGGGTTCCACAAATGCTGCGTACTCATTTATCAGCGCCCCCTGAGCTGTGCGATAGCCCTGCCAAGGCAGCACATTGTCACATCCTCGCTTCATTTGTGGCCCTGCAGTTGGCTGGCCACAGAGCGAAGTTAGATTTTAATCGTGAAGTTCGCGACAAAGATACAGCGCCAAGTTTGTTCTTGGCGCCCTTCAGCAGGTATAAAAGGCCAAGGTCGCTCTTCTGTTGTTATTTTGATGTTGTATGCGTTAGCAGGTAGTTACAGATAGGAGCATACGGTAGCAGCAGTAGAAAGTATCCTTGAGTCAGTATTAATTTATATTATATCCACATTTACCTAAAATGCTTCCTTCAGATAACAGAATCATTTACCGCAGAGTGTTATTTTGTGAAGTTTAGTATCTTAGTCTTCTCGGAACATTTAAAATGATTGAGATTAGATTTATTTGAAGGGCGGGAGGGGAAGTCTGTTTTTAACAATTTTCCGCTGGAATTTAAACATTCTTTATGCAAATACAGTTAGAACACTCTGTATATCCCAGTACAAATGATTTTTGTTAATTATAGGATTATCTCAGTCGGTACAGCGATGGGCTACGGGATGGACCTTCAGGGTTCGATTCCCTGCATGAGCAAGAGATTTTTCTCTTCTCTACAGCGTCCAGACCGGCTCTGGGGCCCACCCACCCTTCTATGCAATAAATGCCGGGGTTCTTTCTCTTGGAGTAAAGCGACCGGGCCGTGAAGCTTACCGTTCATCTCTCTCTAGTGTCTAGGTCAAGAATAATGGAGCTATACCTCCAGCCCTCATACGTCTATGAGCCGACTGTCTAGAAAATGTGGGACCCTCAACGTCTCACAACCCTGTGGGCATCCATGACCTGTTACAGGGACACCTTTACGTTTTTATCTTACTTTTATTTTTCACTTCGTTTACCGTTTTCTTTTTCGTTTCCTTAGTTGTTATGCGGTTCTTGACACTCTTGTGCCAACTTCCATTTTGTGTTCGTTTTTTTTTAACCCTGTATCTTATTTCGGATTTGTGGTCCCATCGCTACGAACACGACCTTTGCGCCCATTCTGCCAGGCCCGATAATTTAAGCCGGAGATGTTTTGCAATGGCGGGACTCTTTGTCACTGTCGCTACCCAAATTCAGGGAGTTCAGACTATTCTTAGCTGTGACCCATTCACTTGTAAACACTTGTGTTGTACGTGGCCAGTGTTGTTGTTTTGTCATGAGAAAGAGGACGCCATCTGCTCTCTTCACTTGATATTTATTTATTTGTTTACAGTTCATTTGACGACGCTGTCAGTAGCTCAGACTACACAGTGTCGAATGACGGGATGATCAGCTAATAATGAATTGGAAATGATGTGGGAAGAAGGGGTCGCGTGACCTGATTTGCGCCACTGTGATGGTATTTGGCTGGAGCGACGAGGAAAAGCAAGTGAAATCTAGGTCAGCATGTCCTGTTTATGGTCCGAAATTCGAACTCGGAACTTCCAGAACGCGAAGCAGAAGTGTCACCCCCTCTACGCGACATCCTATAACACCTGTCTATATTTCAGTGATCACACAGAGAAGTGGGAAGGACATGCAGCGCGAATAGAATAATTCAGAGATGCATACAGCATTTTGGCTTGAAAATGTAACAGAATAGGTCACTTGCGAGATCTAGATGTAGATGGGTAAATGATATTAAAGTGACTTTTAGAGAAAGGGGTGTGATGGTGTAGACTGGACCGAATTGGCCGAGAGTATGACTGAATGGCTGAATTTCGTGAAGACCGCTATGAAGCTTCATATTCTATAAAAGGCTTGGTATTTCTTGACCAGCTGAGCAACTATCCCAGCTTTTTAGCCATCATGGAATGAGTTAATTTCTTGGTCTTTATGAGCTCTTGATTGGCAGGATAGGTGAAGGGAAAAATGGCCCTGCGCTTTACTAATTAAGTACTATGACATGATGATGTATGGGGGAGCAGATGCATATATCCACGCATTCTTGACCTCGACGCCAGTTGAAGCTGAATGGTCAGTTTCATGCCTCTGCTTCTTTACCTTCGAAGAAAGAGCCCCTGTACACACTGGATAGTAGATCGGGTTGGCCCCAGAACCAGTCCTGATGATGTGGAGAGGAGAAAATCATGCTCCTACCAGGGCTTCGAACTCCTATTCCTCAGCTGTCCAGCATGTATGCAGTTGCTGTACCGACTGCATTATCCATAGCTGTTACTAAAGTGACAATGCATGGTCGAGGTGACAGTGGTTTCATTCCAAGAGAAGGCAGGGATTTGTTTCATTGAGTTATGTACCAAATTGAATAATTTAACGTTACTCCTTTAGTGTGTGCTAAATGTTCCTCTTATACAGACTAACATAGCTCTTAAGTTGAAAACAACTAAGATCAAAGCCCACCATTAGACTTGATCCTGAGCCAGTTCTATTCGCCTCCCATCTTCACAGCCGGTTTTTGACTGTCTGTTCTAGTGATTGTCATTCATGTCATGTCATTGTCATGGTCCCATTTCCAGTACTTGTCAGAGTCCAGGTACCCTGACATGTTTTTGTAATATTCCTTAGTTCCTACAGATAATTTTTGCTCTATTATCTCAACACACTGAAGACTGGAGCTCATCGAAACCATTTTTAAAAATTCAGTTCATAATTCGCAGCAAACCTACTCATCTTCCTACCTACCAGTTAATGTTGTTTAAAGAAATAATTTCTGTTTATTGTGAGAATCGTATGAAACACAAAAATACACTTTGTGGGCAGAATGTAGAGTTCTTAATTTTCAGACAGCTGGTACTCATAATCACTGTGATGTAAAGGGTTAAAATAGACTTTGTAGCTGCCTTCCACATCCCTTCCAATTAACCATTCATATCATTCTCTTGATGAATGGATGAATAACGTATGGAATGAGATTGTATTATTAAGTGAAGTAAAGGTCATGATATATTGCCCTAACATGCATCCTAATATTATCCTCCCATTTTTACAGTCATCCAGATGGTTGCTTTAAAAATTATGAGAAATAATTGTGGGTATTGAGTGCACAAACATGTACTTATGTTTGTGCTATTGTGTGCACACATGTAAGTCATGTCCCTCTGTTACAGGGCCCATTGTGTCTTCTAGCAGAGCTCGCCATCTCTCTGACTCAGACTGGCTGCTGTTGGAGACGCTGGACACAAGATGTCAGAGGCCGCTACACACTGGCAGATTTCTGACGATGCACAAGCGGCGTCGAAAGAGGTTAACCACACGTTCATTAACGCAGGAACCAGCCCTTCTGGATGACATCCACCATGGGCAAGTGCAGGTACAGACATCACTTGAACTGTTAACATTACTCATGTTGCAATAACACAGGAAGCACTTAACTCTCTGGTAGCAGAACCTGAATGTTCAACACAGCTAATAACAAAGCCCACCACTGGATATGATCCTGAGCCTGTTCTATTCACCTCCCATCCTCACAACCTGTTTCTCTAAGATTCCCCTGCCTCATTTTGTTTCATTAAAGTCCTCCTCCTAAATAGTTCTCCCTCTCATATATGCTTCGTGCATTTCTTTTTCCCACTAAGATAATTTTATTTCATTTATTTAACTTCATAGCTTTAAATATTGAAGTTTTATGAGAAATTCTTCAACATTTCTTGTTCACACGATGTTCTGTGTGCTGTGCTATATTCCTGATGTCTCTGAAAGACTAGCATTAAGTGAAGACAAATGGGTGGCCTTGTTCACAGTCAGTCCACAGCAATAAGAGTCTGAATGCCATTCATGATAAGTGATTCTCCTAAGGACACTAAAACTCTACATTTTGACCACACAGTGTGTTTATGTGTTTTGTGTTATTCTCACAACAAACAGCAGTAAGCAGCTGTTTGTTTTAGTGGAGATACAGTGTATTTTCTGTGTGAGAGAGAGAAACAGTGTTTTTTTTAATTATTATTTAGTGTAAAGTCAGGTTTCAGAGCATTAAATTGCTTCTCTGTGTACATATCACATCACTTCAGTGTGTTACTGGCTGCTTATTGTTTGTAAGGGGAGAATGATGTTGGTGTTGGCCTTGGCGGGATTGGTGTTCTACATGATGTTGCCATACTTGTTTGCAGCCATATATTGATTGTGGTGCTACTGATTAATTTTGTTATGTTTAACAGTGCTTTCACTAGGTCATGTCATGTATGTAGTGTCAGATGATAGGATGATTAATCAATATTGAACTGGAGATAGGTGGAAGGAAGCAACCATAGCCTAATTCTTGTTACTATCATGGCATTTGCCCCTATGAAACCCGTGAGAAACCTGTCAGTATAGCTGGTCTGTGGGCCTAGATTTAAACCCAAGAGCTCCCAAACACAAAGCAGCGGGATGTCCCATTTGACCATGATGTACAGGTGGTGGTAATGATAATGTTGGGCGAAGAAGATTGTTCCTACTGTGTTGAAATTCATAATCTTTATTGCTAAGTTTTGATGTTTTTCGTTGCAGTGTGTACTGGATCGCGTGTGGCAGTGGCCGTTCAATGCCTTCACTTTAGACACTGTAACAGGAGGTAAGTGAATCTCACATTGATCAGAAGTGACACATAACATCAGTTACTGAGAACTTAACCCAGCATCAAAGTGGCTTCATCATGAAGCTGAACATGTACAGCATCTAGTGCTGATGTAGTGTACACTGGATAAAACCACCATGTCCCTTGTTGCCTTTATGGAAAGATTCTTCTGTCTCTCATAACTTTTATTTAGAATTCAGAAAACTGTAAAGTTCTTTAAAGGTAATATATAGAATTTAATTTCATAAACATTTAATGATAAGTGGTATGAGTCTGGAAGTGCACAAGAGGGTCTTACTGCTTTTTCATAATGTTCACTCACATTTTCACAATATCACTGTAGCTTAGTCAGTAAAGTGACTAGGCATGGTCTGAGCGATCAGGGTTGATTTTTCTGTTTGCCAACAGACTGCCTCTTGGGTCCACCCAATTACCTGTCTAGTGAGTACTGGGGAGGATGGAAATAGTAGATGCCTTAAAACTCTCAGTAGCTTGTTTCATTACACACCACAAGACAGTACACTCTGTGTAAATTGCTAGGGAAGCCTCAGCTATAATAATGTTAATGGGCTGTTTCACAGTAAGGTCTTCTTGGGGAATGAACCATGCCAGTACCCAGTATTTCGAAGGTTGTCTGTCCCTTATCAGCTCCAAAAATCGAGACAGGAACTGTCTTTGAAACAGTGGATACTACTAACTCCATCTTCACAGGGCTCATCACCCAAGTGGATGTCATTGTACTCAATTGCTGTGGAATCTTCAGATCTTTAAATTACAATTTATTAGACCCTAATAATATTGGTGTTTACATATTAAACTTTCTGTAATCATTGTTGTTGCTTTTCGACATTTCAGGGCGATCACTGCCAGTATTGTGTGTTCATTTATTTCACTGGTATGGACTAATGGACCATTTCAATTTGGATGTTGTTCGTGTGTGGAAATTATTTAGTAAGTAGAAATAACTTTTACATTTAATTTATACTCCTCACAGAACAGTTAGAGAGGAGACAACAACAAAAAGTATTTTAAGGTTATAATCTTCTGCTGTGTGATGCTGTATATTTAGGTATCCATCTACCCAACTATACAACGTCACAGCTGATGAGACCATACTTGTAATATTCACAGTTGTGTGAACCTCATATTGCAACAAAAAGAAGAAATTGTTGTTTATATAAAGCAACAGATATTTTATATTAAGATGTGAATGCACAAAGTAATTAACTGACTTCATGGAGCTGAGTTCTTTTTGTGAAGCCAACAGTTGCGCTACTACTCGAGAATTTCCCAACATTTTATAGAACCTGAAAGTTCAATACTGTGTTCACAAGGACCCACCACTAGTCCCTGTCCTGAGTCAGATGAATCCAGTCCATACCACCCCATCTTCTCTCTCTCTCTCGCTCTAAAACACACTTTAATATTATCCTTCCATCTACATCAGGGCTTAGCGGCCTCCGTAGTCTAGAGGTAACGTTCCCACCTCATGACTCGTAGTACGCGGGTTCAAATACCCGGCGGAGGTCGTCGAATTTTTAAGGGCGGAAAAATTCAGGGAACAAGTCCTCCGGGAGGGACTTTAAGCCATGGGTCCAGTGTCGTAGCTTTACGGCACATAAAAGAACCTCATATCTCCAAAGGAGGTCACTGAGCCAAATTACAAATGTTTCCTGCCCAACAGCAGTCTCTAATACCTCTGGTAGATGGGGGAAGCATTATAGATACCTCTCAGCTAGTAGAGCCGGTCTCACTGGCTGGGTGGGACTGATGGTTACTGGTAGGATATAGAGACTGGTAGAAATCATAGAGGGAAGCACAATGGACCAATACAGGTCTAAGTGCATGGGGAAACCCACCCTCTCCAATAACTAACTAACTAACTACATCAGGGCTTTCTACTGGTTTTGTTCTTTTTGGCTTTCCTACCAAAACCCTCTATGCATTTTCTTCTCTCCCACGTGTGCTAAATACCTTGCCCATCTCATACTCCTTGACTGGATTTATGCAGTTTTGTTGAGCCTCCTATTATTTCATCATTCCTGGGTCCAAATAGCATCATCAGCACCCTGTTCCCGGAACACCCCCAGTCTGTGTTCTTCCCTTGGCGTCAGGGACCATGTAGATCTGTGTGTAAGTGTTTGAGTGTGACGAGAGATGGGGTTTGAATGGCAATCAGATATATTCTGCACTTGCAGAATGTAACTACAAATAACTACGACAGTCTCACCAAGTTAAACACTTTAACGATCACCATAACTACAGCACATGTAAATCTTCTCAGTCTTTGCTAGCCATTGCTTGGTAGTGGTTTCCAATGGTGGACATTCCCCTTCCTCTCGGTTCCTGAAATGTCCCAGGTATCAGCTACCAGCTTCCCACTTCTCACAACTGCAACCCTCAGCTGTCACAACTGAACTAGTTTTTGTTATATAGCCCTAGCACAGGCCAGGGAGAAAATGTCTCTTCCATTGTTGTGTGTTGCCTCGTTGCTGGAGAAACAGTGTGTCCAAAGAACTGTTTCCTAGCAATGGCTGTTGTACTGTCCCTATTTACACATCAGTTACTTGGCAATGGGTCTACATGTCACAGTATTATGAAAATACTTCATATACATGTTGAAGAGAAAATGGAACACACATCTTATGCCCAGTACATTTTCTGTCAGTATTATTGGGGTTTGACATAAGTAAACCAAAGGGAGCACACATGTCAGCATTATTACTGTATGAGAACTTACCTTTATTATCTCAGGGAAGCTTTTGAGTGCATTTTTTTGGTTTGTGGTTATTACAGTAGTGGCTATGAAGAGTATTATCTTTTGGAATGTGATGCCATGTAGTCTGGTAGTTCACTGAGGAATATACTGCCTCCTTCCTCTGTGTTGAAAACATGCTAAGTAAGCAACTGGCTATGCTGCTTGCCTTTTGCTTTGGCCCTGAAGTAGGTCTTGCACAGCATCACCTTTGCACTTGCTGGATTCTTAATTTTTGGATTATCATAGTATATTATTGGAAGTGAATTACCATGTGGAGTTACATCATTGTTTCCATAAGTGTGTTTTCTAACGGTCTTTGCCTCATTGCTCTCTTTGTTCTGTTGTTCAGCGCTTGTAGAGGCAGGCTACCACAGTACAAACCCGTACCACAACTCAGTCCACGCTACAGATGTGACACAGGCAATGCACTGCTTTCTGCAAGAAGAGAAGGTACAGTTATGCTTATGAAGCAGCCACTTACACTGATCCTCAGTAACAGATTGCAATAGGTCAGTTTCACAGCAAATGTAATTTTTTATGTTTATGAAGGGTTTCATTTCCTGTTAACATTCCGTCCTCTAAAAGACGTCCTCTTCTGGGATGTGCCAGTCTGTAGTCTGGCAGACCATTAGCAACCTTTTGGATGAACTTACTGCCTCCATCTTCAGGGTACAAGAACAAGTGGCGTGGATGTGTGGAGAGGGAGGTTGGAATGGGGGAGACCAGAGTGAACCACTCAGCTGATGCTTCTACCCTGCAAGTGAGGGCAGCAAGTTCTTACACATTTGTAATTGTCCACTGGACTGCATGGTATGATCACATCCTAGCAAAGTCACTGCCATGAGGATATGAATTCTTCATTTCTTCTTCTTCTCCTCCTCCTCCTCCTCTCTCTTGTCCTCATTTATGCTTTCCTTGCCCTTCTGCCAGTTGTTGTTCCATATTTTGGAGGCCACAGGCCCCAGCCTTGGCCTGGAGACCAGGTATTCAGAGGATTTTTTTAATCATCAGATCCACCTTGCAAATGTTGGAATAGGTGAGATTTGTGGTTTCCAGGCCTGTATCAGACCCTCTTGTTTGCTAAGTGGTTAACAGTGTTCCAGAGGAATATACTTCCTTCATCCTTAGGATATAACCTTCAGCACCATGAAAATCTCACATCTTCTAATGGATTGAATGTTTATTATAGCAGATATATTATGGTCCATAAATGGACATTGAGCATGGGCTTGGGTATGTACCAAATATGGACAAATAGTATTCACAATATGCATGACATGAATCCATAATGCAAAGGAAATTCTATCCAGCCATCTGCAGGTTCCACGCCTGAAACCCCCTAACACATTTTGATGAAATTTTATATTTGAGATGGAACTGTGCTAAAATTTATAAAGCAAACATAATGTAAGGTTGTATCAGTCATGTAAGGTTTGTCCCTGCACTTAATTAGGCATTTTGCCATGAACAATAATGGAATAGTGGAGATTTAGCTCCTTGCATACTTAAATCTCGGTGCCAGATGGAGGTGAGGGGTCACTTTTACTGTTTGGCCACTTAACCCTATACCCACTGGATAGAAGTTTGTGCATGGCCTCCAGTAATAATCTGGTTACTGTGGAGAAGAGAAAATTCTGTTACCCTTGCCAAGAATGAAACCGCACTACGTCAGCCATCTGGCCAGTAGCCTGGTTACTATATCAAATCGGTTAATATAATTTCTGTTTCACATAAAGAGCAATTCAGATGTAATTGATTTTGTCAAAAATGGCTCATATATGAAACTGGTGCACAGTAAAAATACCATTGATCACATAAAGATCTGTAACTTTTATCTGAAACATGTTCTAGTATGGTGATTTATTTAACAAAATAAATGGAAAATAGTAGACGTGTGCAGCTTGAATTGTCAAGATTGACTTGAGAAAATAAAATTCTCAATTTTTATTTTGATTTGTGATAATCGCAGGCAACTGCATTTGCTTTCTGCTATAGCTTGCAGACTATCTGTTCTGTCAGAATGTTAATGGTTGGAAACACTAGCATGAACCAACTTGTCAGCAAAATCTTCTCTCTCTTCCTCATTCTGTGCATGATGAAGAATGGCATGGCCATGGAACTAAATATTTTAGTACAATGATTTATTAAATTTGTCATTGAAGCAGGATCTGATGTCAGGAGGGATATGTAGTACACTTCAGTGCACTGTGAAAACATTGCTAGTATAATAAATTGTGATTACAACAAAAACAATTGGCTTAGCAGAGGAAATTTTATCTCAGTTCTCAGAATTTTTTAAAATTCTTGTATTGAGCTCAACTTGAGCTGAAAAATTATCCTGACACACACCAAAATATAACATATGACTGCAAGGCTATATTCACAGTTTGACCAGCTGTATAATGGTGAAGCTGTGCCTACAGATAATGAACATCAAGACCAGCACTGTATACAAAAAACAAAGAATTGTGTTTGGAAAATATATTTGTTAAAAACAGCAGGAACATATTTCTCCACTTTTGATGCTCTAATTCAAGACGTCTGTGTTTCTTTTTTAGATAAAAGTGCATCTAACTCCCCTTGAGATTATGTCATCTTTAATTGCTGCTGTAACGCATGACCTGGACCACCCTGGTGTCAACCAACCATTCCTGATAGCCACTTCCAACCATCTAGCAGCATTGTATGAGGTAAAGTTGTGACGAGTCTGAAAGAAAGCATGGGGAAATGTTTTGACCATCTGAGTGACTTTCAAGAAACACCACACAACAGTATGAATCAGAAAAAAAAATGTTATATTATCTCTAGGAAAATTGAATATATGTAAATGTATGCACTAGTGATGTGTTTGCCCCACAGAAAGTTACGGCAGGATCCTGAAAACACATGGCAGCCTTATGAATGTTTCACCCTATTGACCAAAGAGGAAGTTAGAGAAAGCTCCCATACATTGCCCCACCCCCCCTCCTGTACTGAAGTGATGGAAGTTGGTTCAGTCTTCTCATGCTCCTGAAACTGTTGCACTTCAAGAAGTACTGATATACTCTAAAAGATTTGGTGCTGTGGTGCCACAGTGATTGCTTTATGCATTAAATAGTTGCCAAGCTATGAAAAAGTGATGGACAAAGGTCACTTTATGTACTGTGAAGTATTATATATGGCCTCCGTAGTCTAGGGGTAACGTTCCCACCTCATGACTCAAGGTATGCGGATTCAAACCCGGCAGAGGTCGTGGAATTTTTAAGGGTGGAAAAATTCAGGGAACAAGTCCTCCAGGAGGAACTTTAAGCCGTGGGTCCTGTGTCATAGATTTACGGCACATAAAAGATCCTCGTGTCTCTAGGAGACCTCTGAGCAAAATTAGGCAAAATGTTTCCTGCCCAAGTAGTTTCCAATGCCTCCGGTAGATGGGGAAGTTATCGGGTACCAATGCCAGTAGAGGGCTGACCTCGATGGCAGAAAGGGGAGAATTATTGGGTACCACTGCCAGTAGAGGGCCGACCTCGCTGGCAGAAAGGGGAGATAGTGGGCACCAGTATCGGTAGGGTATGGCGACAGTAGAAATTAAAGGGGGACGTACAATAGACTATTAGTCGCAGTGCATGGGGAAACCCACCTCCTCTATACTGAATAACTGAACTGAATATGGTCACCTAGCAACCAGACCAGAGGCTAAATATGTGTTGTGGGCAAGTTTTGATTACATTTACTGAAATTTTAAGAATCAGGAGAGAACATAACCTGTTACATTGTGGGAACTGTTACAGCTCATTGTGTTCCTCTGTTGCTGATTTCAGTCATGATGTAACAATTCCTTTGTCTTTCTGTTGTGTGTGTGTTTTTTGAATTAGAGTTTGTTCTTTTTTGCATTTAGAACACCTCAGTGCTTGAAAATCATCACTGGCGCTCTGCCATTGGGTGTCTATTGGAAAGCAATGTTGCTGAGCAGCTGGGAGCATGCAGGTTCGAGTTGGAGCAGCAGATCAGCTCTCTCATCCTTGCTACAGATATCACCCGTCAACAGGAGTTCCTTTCACGATTCAAAGTATGAACACTGTTTACAGTTATATATTATATAAATACCGGTTTATGTTGTGTTTGTTGGCCTATAAGCACTTTGTTTATTTTGAGTAAAGCCAAATGATTGTCTCTACATTGCACTGTTGGTCATGGCCTTCTTGTGGAAGTATAGCTCCAGTCATTCCAAATTTTCAACACTAGATGGGGTGAGTGGTTAGGATAAAATTTTGGCCATCATCCTGCCTGGAAAGGAACCCCTGATGCCTGTCAGATAGGGTGCTGGGTGGGCCCCAGGGTCAATCTGGATGCAGTGACAAAGGGGAAAATCAAAGTCCCTGCCAGAAGTTAAATCATGATTGTATGGGTGCCCAGTCACTGTACTGATTGTAGTGTAGTATTTTTGACTAGTATTAAGGGCTGAATCAAATGCAGATAAGTTTGACAAAAGAATCCACATTCACTGAAAACCAGTGTGTCATGGTGATGCTGTATGTGGTTGTTATAATGTAGTTTAGTTATGAAGTTGCATGCTTCTGTTCTGGCAGCGTTACCTGGATCAGAATCTGCTGGATATGAGTCGTGCTGAGGATCGCCACTTCATCCTACAGATAGCTCTCAAGTGCGCGGACATCTCTAATCCTTGTCGCCCGTGGGATGTGAGTCGTAAGTGGAGTCATAAAGTGTGTGAGGAGTTTTTCCGTCAAGGAGATTATGAGCGTCAACTGAACCTTCCCGTTACATCTCTATGTGATCGACAAACAACATCAATACCTAAAATTCAGGCAGGTTTCTTTCGACTTGTTGTGTCACCGTTGTTTGAAGAGTGGCACAGGTTCCTCAAGACAGACTTATCCACGCTGATGATGAGGCACCTGAAAGGTAATCAGAGTCGTTGGGAGGCAATGGTACAACTTGAACTGGCAGAAGAGACGCGGACTGAGATATCAGATGCAGAATTATTGGATGAGGAAGTGTGTGGCAGTTCAGAAGAGGAGGCCATGACAGGGGCTGAAGATATCGCAGCTAGTGCAGAACTGCTTCTACCAGAATCCCCTTGCTCTAGACGTCCTTCTCTTCCTTGTCGTAATGATGAAACGGATTCCATGGTACGAGTGGGCAGACGGCATTCTGTTCCCCTGAGTGTGCCTTCCCCTCCACCGTTTACACGAACTATAATCAGACGTGAGAGCTTGCCAATGGGGGAGCATCGCACGCAAAGGCGTTACCCATCGGGGCCAATTCTGCATCTAGAAGAGGAAGAAGAATTGCAGCTTGGACAAAGTTCGCTGTCGCTGCTGTCAGCATGCAGCAGTGAGCCTCATCATTCGTCAGACCGCGCCAGCGAAAATGACAGTAGGCCTGTAAGTGCAGAGAACTTGCTGCCAGAACCGAGTATTGCTTCCATCACTACCAGCATGGAGGCAAGCCGCCTATCCTCTGTATTGCACGGGGGAGGAAATGGAACTACTGCTCCTGTGGTTCCATCACGGTTCTTGACTCGCCAGCAGACTTTTCCACCTCTACAGCCATACGTAAGGATTCGATACATGTCCACAACGGCCGAGATGTCAGCTTGCTCTGAGGTACTCGCTGAAGGAGCTAGTCACTCAAACTCCTCCTGTTCTTCCACATCTAACCACACCAGTGCTGCCAACCTGCCTTGTCAAGTTTCGGAACAACCTTCTGAAGGACCCTCAAATTTATCGTGCAGCAAGAATGGGTGTGGAACTCCAAATGGGAAGCTTCGGACGCTAAGGGACAATGGCAGAATGTGTGCAGTGGAGTCACAGTGTGTTAATGAAAAGCCAGTGACCATGAGAAGTAAACGGGAACAGACAGACACAGTATTGGAGAAGGCAGCAAAGATGGCCAAAATCTCGGACAGTTGGGCTCCTCAGCAGAGTGATCACAAGGAGAATGTGGACCCTCGGCGCATCGGGAGTGACGCTGATCTAGATACAAGTTTCAACAAGACAGGAAGTCTGCGAAGAAGTGCCCCTCAGGTTAGTTTCAACTTCTGTTACCAGAATGATCATTAGTTTTCATTACAAACATGATGTTCCATGTCTCCTTCAAATGCTTTGTCTGAATGGGGAGATTAAGAGATTTTGAAAATAATAACTACAATGCCTTAATGGCTTTTCTGTACATAAGTTCCATGAATATGCTGCTACCAATGTGTCTCACATAAGATTATGGTCATCTGAGATGTTATGCCCTGTAGCATGTTAGATGAATACCAGTGTCTTGCAGAAGGCAGGTTCCACTGATGATTGGCACTTAGGTACCAAACTGTTCCTACAAAACAGTGGTTTCCTATCTACCAAACTACATCACATCAGCCTTAATATTCAGCACCATTCTCACATGTGTTACATAATCTCAGACTTATCCATTGTCACTCACTCATGGAGCTGACCCCTTCTTGAGAAACCTCCAGTTTTGCAGCTACTCAAGAACTTTCCAGTCATGATTCCAGATAGAAGCTTAAAGATCTTAGAATGTAATATTTCGCCTCCTGCTTGAATAAGTTCTGCTGGAATTTGATCACTACTGGGCAATTTATAACTTTTCAACTTTGCAATAGCAGTTTTAACCTCAAATGGGCTGGGATCAGGTACTAACACCTCAGCTGTATGTACTTCTCTCTGCCTAACATCACTGACCCTATGTACATTCAATAACTGAGAGAAGTAGTTCTTCCACAGTTTACTGATGTGTAATGTCATGTAGCCATCTAGGTGGATACTCGTGTCTCAGGGGAATCTGCCACATACATCTTCAGGGATTTGGGAAAGGTTCTCTGTGATCAAGAGAATGGCTGACAGAGTGTTAGAATCGAAGTGTTACAGCACCATGGCAGCAGCTTTATAGAGTACTGACAGTGAAACTTCAGTACAGAATATGTGCTGCTGAAGTTACTGAGCAGGTGTTTGTGTGAAGTGGAGGCTGTATTAGACCATTACAGGCCAAAATGAAATTTGTGTGACAACATTTAGTGTAGGTGCTTGTTCAGCCTGCTGTTCATAACTGACTACAGGGTGCAGATCAAACTTGCTGATGTGGTCAAGAAATTGCCTGCTTATGTGGAGCCTTAAGGATCATTTCTATGTTCACAGTCAATCACAATCAATACCCTCATACCACGTTACTCTAATGTGTGGCATATTTAGTTATGCATTCAGTAAATCATACCAAAAGTGTTGAGCAGTAGGATGGTTAGTGAATAATGAATTGAAAAAGATGTGAAGGAACTTACAGTGGCCTAATTCAACTTACTCTCATAACATCTGCCTGGCGGAAACCAAAGAAAATCCTTTTCAATATTATCCATTCATATGTGCGAGAGGCCTCTCTTGTTCAGATTTTCATATCAGTATTTTGCATTAATTTCTTTTTCTCTCTATGCATGTTACGATCTCAGTACATCTCATCATTGATTAAATCATCCTGTTAGTATCAGATAAAGCAGTACAAATTGTTAAGTCACTTACTTATGTTATTATGTAAAATCTTCAGTTTCCTCCTTCTTCTTAAGGTCTAATGTTCTGCTTAACAGTTCCCCTTAACTTCATGATTTTCCTTAATGGGAGATAAATTTTAAACCCATACAAAACAGTGTACAAAATTATAGCAGTATGTATTTTAAGATACAAGTATTCTGCAGGTAATGAGAAGTTTAAACAGCTGAATGGTAGATAAAATCTGCTTTGAAGTTCAGTGTGTCATAATTTTAATTGTCATCATCATTCCATGTTACTTTGACTTTGTCACATTTTCAAAGGATTTATATGGAGTTAGCACATAACTATTATTAATAGTCATGAATAAAATAATAATATACCTAATTTCGCATAGTGGAGCTGGAGTCCAGTTGGGTCCACTCGGCACTGCGGTCACTGATTGGCCTATTGTACCTGCCCCAGGTGATTATGATGATGGAGAATTTTTTTTTGTGGAATGAAGATTGGCAGGGGAAACCAAAGTCCTCAGAGAAAACCTACCCCCAGAGCCACTTTGTCCACCACAAATCCCACTTGACCAGACCTGGGTTCGAACCCGTGCCGCTACGGTGGGAAGCCGGTCACTAACCGCTTGAGCAAGGGCGTGACCTAATAATATACCTTAAGGAATTTTTTAATTCAGTGTATGTTCATGTGTGTGTTGTGTTGTTATGCCCAGAGTTCTGAGCATAATGTGTTTTACAGGGACTGGCACGGCGTCGTGGTTCTGCACCCGTGGGTTTGCTCAACCGTTCAGATGATTATGTTGCACCAGTTGCTCTTACACTCAGGGGTGGCGGAGATAGATTCCTGCGTCGTGGCTCTGTGCCCACCGATGTGACAAGACAAAGTAGGAAATGCTCCAGTTTTAGTAACTTCTTTGCCGAGAATTGGCACCCAGAGAGGCTTGAGTTTCGAGTGTGAGATGTGATATTTGACATTATTTCCATGTAGAAGAGAGAAGACAGTAAAATAATGATTTCTTTTGGACAGTTTTAAACAATTCATGTTAATTTTAAAATATCTTGAGGAATTTTAATAATGAAAAGTTAAAAAAATATTTTTCTTATTTATAAAAATAACTAATTTTTGTACAAAGTTGTTACTCATCTCCCTGTGTCACTGCATGCAGAGATGTTGATGGGGTTCCAAAATTTTCCATCATAACCTTAAAAAGATTGGCTTACTTAATCGTGTCTGTAGACCCCTCTTCACTTGCTTTCCCATTCTCTAGGCTTCTTGAGTGTTGAAGTCCTGCTTGTCTGATATTTTTGATAAGCTCTCTTTTATGGCTCCTGAGATGCTTGGACCCACCATGCACTTCAATGGTATTCTTCAAATTGATGTAACATGCAATCTGCCAGCCACATTTTGTTCAGTGCAACCTGTCTCAACAATGTTTGACAGAGTAACATCTTTTTTTGAAACCTGCTGTCATTGCTGCCGTAATCCTCTCTCTTTCCCCTGTAAGCTCCTCTGTCCTATGTTTCTGTTAATGGTGCTGAGATAATTTTTGTTTGCTGTGATGCCTAACTTATCAGCTGTCTGTAGAGCCATTAGCTACTAACATTTTCTTACAAACATTTTGAGAGATGGTGTTACTGTCACTTTCATGTGATTATTTATTATTGTACTGACAAATTTTATTTTTTATATTATTGACAGCATATGGAACATTCAGTAGCAGTATTATTGAAAATAAAACATAAAATCCATCTATTTGATGACAACCAAGCAACTGATTTAAAAAGAAGAAGTGATTTGCAAAATATGATTTGTCTACTATCTCCTGTTTCCTACTGCAGACCTAATAGAGAACACCCAAAGATGGTATGAAATTTACCCCATACTCTTTCCAACATATATGGTAGCTGCAGCTATCAGAGTGCTGTATTGCGGTAGCATTTCTATGTTTGGTTCAGAGGTTCAGATCTATAGCCCCTTGCCCATTTTAATACTTGAATAAATTTTAATTTCATAATTTGTGTATTGTTCCTGCTTTAAACTGTTAGCTTCTACATAGGGTCCAGATCTGAAAGTTACCTTCATGAAAGGTGAAATGCTTGCAAGGGATTGGTTGAAAAGTTCTGCATCATCTACTATCGAGTTCCATACTCTGGGCCCAAGAGACTATCACCTGTTTGGGCCATTGTGAAGACATCTTGCAAACCATCAAACCAGATCATGATATCACAGAAACAACAAGGGCATGACTCCAGGCCAAGTGCACACAGTTCTTCCATTGAACATCTGGTGCTATTTTAGTTCAGAGTTCTGACACTGCTGGTTTCCTTTGAAGGCAGGAGGGTTCTGCAAGCAAGAAACTAGGATATATCTTTAATTATGTACATTCTGATAACTGATATATGAAGTCTGAAGGAGACTACAAACACATCTCAACTGATAACTGAATCTGCATGTACAGCTTTCAGTACCTATTTGCACCCATTCTGTCAGACATCCCCAGACTACACAATCTACACATTATGTAATCTTAATATGATTTTGGCCTTTTCTTCTCAAAGCCTACTACCATTTGTTTATTTCAACTTGCCACTAATTCCCTTGCTTTTTGCTAACACAGGTGTTCTGAGACCACTCGGCTCAAAAGAGAATACAGTCTGCCTGCACCCCCGCATGCCACGGCGGTCTTCACTTCCGTATGACACTGCAACCCTGTCCAGCCTGCTTGATCCCCTCACTGTCCCCACAGGTAACATAAGAACTGTACTACAGTTGCTACATGGCACAGCAATTAGCACTGAAAGAGGTTGCTTTTAACCCTTTCCATGCTATTGAAGAGACCTTTGGCTATTAGTGTACATATTTAAATGCCAACAGAGAATTTGTTTTATTTGAGGTTCTATGAAGAATGCAGTCTTCTGTGTAGTGGCAGGCAACATGCACTTCAATACAAGTCCACTGAAGTTTTCGAGGAATGTACTGCTTCCATTTTCAGGTCACCAACAAGAATATACTCAAAATTCAGTTTCGTTGCTGAAACATCACAAATAGTCAATTTTATTGGGTGATGTCAGGATGCTCAAACACCAGAACTGCAGTTGTGAGTGGCCTAGCTTGTGCACTGTATGGAAAGGGTTAATTCTGACTTCTATTTGGTGGAAATGTCCTGTAGAGTGCTGTGTTGTGCTGGTGCTGGCACAATTCTCAAGAAGGAATGTATTTTACATATACAGTAAGGAGTTGTTTGGCATTTTTGTTGTTTGTGGCATGTTACTGTTTTAATATACTCCATGTTGGCTGTGAGCAACATTGTGTCAATAAATCCTTCAATTCTTCCTGAACCTACTTTTTGTTTCCTTGTTCTGCCATAAGCAAAATACGAGGGGCAGTCAAAAAGTTCCTGGAATTGTGGTATAGCGCTCTAATGGTAGGACATATGGCAATGCTTACCTGATCACCTTCAAGATAAGACCCTTGTTCATACACACGCTTGCTCCATCGATCCTGCCATTGTTGGAAGCAGCAGTGGAAGGCTTCTTTTGGAATCTTCCGGAGCTCAGCCATTGCATTTGATTTGATGTCCTCCATGGTTGCGAAAATTGTCCCCTTGAGGCCCATTTTCAGAGTAGGGAACAGCCAAAATCACTCGGAGCGAGATCCGGAGAGTACGATGGTTGAGTGATGACAGGAATGTTTTTCTCGGTGAGAAATTCCTGCACAACAAGCAATGTGTGGCTCGGTGCATTATTGTGATGCAGAAACCACTGTCCCTGCCACTTGTGCCGCTTCCTCCGAACCGCATTGCACAACCTCTGCAAAACTTGCATGTAGAAATGGCCAGTAACAGTCTGTCCAGACGGTACGAACTCATGGTGCGTGACAAACCGTTGATGTCAAAGAATGCAATGAGCATCACTTTGTCTTTGGATCTGACAAGGCGTGATTTTTTTGGCCGGGGAGACAACGCTGTGTGCTACTCTGATGACTGCATCTTCGTCTCCGGGTCGTAGGCGAACACCAATGACTCATCACCAGTGACGATCTTTTTGAGAAATGTCGTGTCCTGCGTACTTTTATCAAACAGATCGCCAGCGACCATGCAACATTTCATCTGATCCATGGTCAGCTGCCTCGGAACAAACTTTGCACTGACGCGTCTCATCTTCAAATCATTGGACAAATGGCATGAATGGATCGGTGAGAGATACTAACTTCTTGCTCCAACTCTGCGATAGTCATTCTTCGAACACATTGAATAAGTTGTCGCACTTTTCCAATCATTTCTTTGGTTCTGGATGTCAAAGGTCTCCCGCTGCACTGGTCATCCTCTAACATCTCCTGCCATTCTTAAACCGGGAAAACCAGTCGTAAACTGCTGATTTTTTTAGTGCAGTATCACCGTAAACTTGCTGCAGGGCCGCAGATTTTCCCAATTTGCACATGAATTTGATGTTTGCACGCTGTTTGAACTGCGACATTGCACCGAATAACCAACACTCACGTCTAATTCAAACAGAACAGTAACGACACTGCACACTGAAACCTGTCCAGACCTGTTACACCTGCAAGCAGACATGCTGAGCTCCCCACCACAACAGTGTGTGCGCTATCTTATCGCTCGTTCTCTGTCTGCGGGGGAATTACGGGAACTTTTTGACTGACCTATGTAAATGGATTTATGTGTGAAAGTCACTACCAAAATTGGTGTCTTTGGAACTGAGCATATTTTCCTTCATTAACAATTATATTAAGGGTTGTTGTAATTTCAAGAGGAATTAATTTTATTATGATCTTCTGTTATACTTGTACATTACTGTCATTGAGCGACACTTCAAAGTCACGCTACAGTGGGATATGAATCCAGTGAACTTGAGAAGTTCCAGAGAGCTGTGTTTATGCTAAGACAGAACAGTAGTATGAAATAAGTGACGCTGCTGTCTAGAGGTATGCTATGAACTTTTCTCAGCAAAGCCAGAGACTGTAATACTAACTCAAGCATACTTCCCACTGTTTTTTATTCCTACCATTGTCTGCTCCTGTTCATAACTATTACTAGTTCCGACTGCTATTATATGTAATGACAGATTAGTGACTGTTAACTCTTTATATATAACAATTAGCCTTCTTTTGTTTTGTCAGATTTGTGCAATTATTTTGGATTTTCTTGTTAATATTTAAATCATCATTAAAGATAATTGGATAATTTATTCTGGATGTTTTTTTTTTTTGTTTTTGGTTGATTCAGTTTTAGATGAAGACTGCTAAGACTGATAGCCCTGTTTGTCATGTATGCCCTTTTATAATTTTATGGAAACTGCCGAGTTTTGGCTGTGCCCAGAATTTGGCAGGTCTGCTCTTACACACTTATCTCTAGGGAGCTGCCACAATGATGGTAGCCAGCATGAAACCATTGGTTGCTATATGATAACCTAAAATAGTGCACAGCAAAATGAGAGGCAGAGGTGGTTTGTCCCTGTGGTGAGAAGAAAAAAGTATGCATGTATTTGAAGGTGACCCACGTAAGTTCAACACTAGTGCCACGTTGTCAACCATGTTAGTGCTGCCAACCCTAAAAGTTCATATGTAAAAACAAACTCCAAAGGCTAACCTTAGAAGGTATATAGATATTTACCTTAAAAACAAAACCAGAAGCCTAGCCTTTCCAAAATGGAACCAAAGGCCTCAAATTTTTTAAAGAAAATTCAGAGTCAGACCTAGTTGACTTCTTATTTGAGTCAGACTCTGAGATTAAGCTTTGTATCTTGATTTTGCAAATAAGTTTTTAAGATCGGCAGTACCAGTGTGGCAGACATGATGGTAAAGTTTTAAAGTTACTTGGGTTACCCATTAATATATATAAGCAATGAGAAAAATTCATTCATTTACTGAACCCCAGTTGTTCAGCCCATAGCCATTTGTATCACTGTTCTTAATAGGTCGTTACTCTGTTGACATTTCAGTGAAGTTGCCAAACATCTGAGGGGTAAAATGGTAACTAAATGAATGAGTATTCAGAAATGTCTGGTTGGCTGTCATGACATTCATGACCATATCAATGTGCTGCTCTTTGTTTATCAGTGGTTGTTTCTGTAAAATATCAAATTTTAACACAATTGTTTCAGGAATGAACAGAACCTATGTGTCTCATTAATCATATTGTCACGTGTTGGGTATGTCACGCGACAAATAACTTCATGTGAATCTCGGATTCAGGGAACCTTAATTGGACATTCACTCTTACACACCGTACAATTATCACCTTAAGTGTATTCCGCGGCGGCTACCTTCCAACCGTCCTGTATGGCGACTAGATCTCAACTGTGCCGTATGAAGGCTGGGTTCCAACTGCGCTCTATGAAGGCTAATTAGCTCTGTGCTGTTGTAGCTCTGTCGCTCTCGGCTTATGTAGTTATTCTGTGGACTGGATACGAGACACCATTCGCCAAGGTTCGATCTCACTTCTTCGGCAATCCATTGCTTCGGGAACGATCACTATAGAGTATGGCGGTAACGTGTTTCGTCTCATCCGTTGGTACTCAACGGCCTTCTGTTGTTCATCTCTGGGGAAATGCGTTCGTTGTTTCGGCATTGTCTACACAGCGGCCCACTGTTATCGCGTTGCCATGGAAGTATCTACTCCAAACACGTTACATTGCCCCCTTCTAAAGGTTGTTCATCCCAAACAGCCTAACGGTGCATCCTCAGTTTCGTTTCCTAAGGTGTTCATCTTCCGCGTGTTACCTCCGCCTTTTCTTCGGCGTTTTGCCTTCCTTCCATCTGCCCCCCTTCTTCCAGATTGCTCGCCCTGAGCACTTCCAATGTTCAGCGGTTGTCGGTCCCATTGTCTCATGTTCATTCTTCCCTTTCATTCTCCATTTGTCCTTGTTGGGGAGGCCGGTACTTCTACGTTACCGGTTCCTCCCATACGGGCCGTTTCCTTTTTTTTCGTTTTGGAGGGGGTCGCTCCTCCACAGTGTCCAGTCCATGTCTTGTGGTAGGCTGATGTTTACTGATATTTTCAAGAATTAGAAAGGCAGTGACACAAAGAGACCCATGTATTGTTATAATCTGCCTTATCTCATGGGTTGCTCTGCTGTTGGTTGACTGAATTGTGGAGTTGGATGGTGGTGAAGTAGGCTGTAGTGGTTGAGGTAGCCCACACCACTGACTACCATCCACCTTCATTTCTCTCTCAGACAGTAATATAAGTTCTCATAATCAGATGAGATATCACAGTTGAGTGTCCAGCACTCCTGTTTCAAATTGGAGACCCAGGGTTAAAATCTTGGAATTGACCAGCTCTCCTGATTGAGTTTCTATGTGGTTTTCCTCAGTTCCTCTAAGCAGACACCAGAAATTGGGGATTTTCTTTATTATGCTCTCTTTCGCATTCCTTATTTGCTAGTCATCCAATAATTCAATACCATGTAGTCTGAGCTACTGACAGCGACGCTAAATGACAACCAACTAAATCAATAAAATCACAGCGATTCTGCAGCTCTCTGTCTCTCATGTTGCCATACAACTGCCTGTTAGTTTGATCCAATAGTGTCAGTCCCTGCCCCTTGATGCATGTAGAAGAGGTAGCTGTATTTATATCGGTTCAGTTGAAACTGCAACAAAAGATGGCACTAATTTCTAAAATGGCAATGAAAATAAGTCTCTTATTTTCCATTGTCTATTCAATGGATGAATTCTGGATGAAACCTCATGGAGAATAAATCTGATGGAAATACTGAATCAGTCTTTTTAGAAGTTGATAACAACAGTATTCAAACTTAACAACAACTGCAGCAGCAGCAGCAACAATAATAGCTTCCTGAAATTATTATTTTTATAATTTTATCATAAATCTTATTCCTAGTTCCTGTTTTTGTTTTTACATATTAAAATGTTTACAGAGTTTCGCCTGTTTTATTACCTGTTTTTGTTGTTATGTTGTTGTCGTCGATTATTTACATGTTTTTATTATTAGAGCTTCTGCTGGGGCTTCGTCACCAAAGTGAATTATTGCTGTGTAATATATGTTTGTGTAATTTTCTTCTGTATCCAAATTTCTTGATCCATCTCCAGCTTTTGTGAAGAGGTACCATTTCCAGATTCCCACTGAGACTCCACTCAAGTATGAACTCAATATGCTATGTACAGGCCCCTCAGAGCTATGATGAAACATCATAATTCATAGATAACTCTCCAACTGGCACAACTTATTGCAGGAAGATGTTTGTAACTGTTGCATAAAACCTCTTCCATCAACACAATTGGAAGTTAAGCATCAGTGACCTTTACAACCACAGCAAAATTTGATTAGCAGGTTTCTACTGATTCACTTGCGTAGCATTATAGCAGCAGTGAAGTTTCCGAGTAGTGAGGTCATTTTTCTATTACATGTTTGGTTGCTAGTAGTGCAGTCAATCACATCAGTGTATGAGCATCAAGTGCAGCTGGCTTCATGCTGTTGCATCAGTAGGAGAGAAGCCTTATATTTGAGAGAAATACATTGTTGATTCTTCAGATGAAGAGAATCACTGTTGAATTTTGAGTTTTTAACTCATGCTGAACAGTCAGTATGACAAAGCTCACAGAGGTTTAGTAATTGACATGTAGTATGGTCACCACAGTTTTGCCTGCACTCTTTGTAGTAAGTGAAAGTATATTGCCTTCCTACCTGTCCATGTGTCTCATCTCCAAAACTGCTCTTGATTGTGATAAAATTTGTTGATGAGAAAGTTATTTGCTGATATTAATTTGTTATATAATCCATCTCATCTTAGATTCAAATTTATGTTTTTCTTGGTGATGTTTCCCCATACAGAACATTGTTACATGACATAGAAAACTTCCTTAATATGTTTTTAAATATTGTAAAAATTAAGAGAGAAAATTTATTTCTGGCTGTGCTGTGTGTTATCTACAATGCCACTGGCTTTCAGAAGAATATATTTGTGTCTCCTAGAAATGAATGCCAAGACCCCTGAACTATGCAAAATCACCAAGAATGTATTGTAAAGATATGTGTACTCCAGAATTAGAGTAGCAATAATATTTTTTTTTTTTGCCAGTATAGGTAATTATGAAGATCGCTGTCTTCTGGGATGTGACGCCGTGTAGCCTGCTAAAAAGGTAGCATCGTTTTAGAGAAATCTGTTGCCTTCATCTTCAGGGCAGAAGACTCGCACATCTTAATTCTTTCATACAAAAAGAAAACTCAGACTATTTGTTGACCAAGATTTTTGAGTTAGTAATTTTAAGATGTGTCACTGTCTTTCTGATGTGTGCTCTAGGGGACATCGGACTGAGAGCCAGGTGTCACAAGATATGGCCGAGATTGTGGATGCTTTGTTCCTTGATGGCTATGTGGTCACAAAGTTACGTTGTTGTGTTCCTCAGGAGATAAGGTGGAAAGTGAAGACATTGTCAAGGATTTGCAGTACAGGAGGCTGGACCCCCTGAGTAACATCTGCACGAGGCCTCTAGAAGAAACTTTGCCCCATTCTGTTAGCCAGCAGTACTTTGTGAGTGTGAGGCGAGGTTCTGTCCCAGCAGATATCAGCTCTGAACTCAGGCTGAGAAATGGAAACAGCAACAAATCAAGGACTCGTAAGAAAGTACTGCGCAGGCGCAGTTCAGGTGGTCCTGAGATGTTCACTGTTTCTGGACCTGAGCCTTTTGGAGATGGAATGACATGGCAACAATGGCACCGTGAATTTATGCCACGATGGATGGCAGAATCGGTATTGACTAGACGAAGGGGATCACTGCCAATAGAAGTGCTGGCCACTACTCACTCAGGTGAGCCTGTGCAACTTAGTCGATTTATCCTACCATGTTAACCCTGTCCATTTTCATGTTCATTTGTTGTCCTTGTCTTCATCTTTAACTTTTTCTTTACGTATTGTGCACTTTCCGGTTTATAATACACACACACATATACACTCAACTCTTCGATTATCTGGGATAATGGTGGGATGGAAATCATGATTAATCGAAAACCTGGTTAAGACAAATTTTATTAAAAGTACTCGTAGTACTGTAATACTGTACCTTCATAATACTATAGGCCTACCTATATTTAAGTTTATTCAACCTCATTTTTATGTCATCTCATGGCCTATTTAATACTTTTTTTTTACATTACACTGAAGTATGAATTAGTTATTTCAAGCACAGTGTTCAACAACATCCAACAATTTTTATGAATATTCACACTTAACACTTAAAAGAATTTAATATTGTCGTATGCTTTTTCGCGGCATTTTCCTTTTTATGGATATCCGTACGAAGCCTATGTAATATTAGCTTGTCACTTAATAAACTCTTCTCTTCACTCTCAAGATAGTCTACTAAGGATTCCAAATGATTAAGAGCAGCACCATGTGATATTTTCTTACTAGCAGCACTGTCCACCTCTTCCTCATTCTCACTTTCTTCCCACTCTTCTTGCTGCACCTCCACTGAACTTACGAATTCGTCACTGCTTAACATT